CCCTGTTGCTGTGGGCAGGGCTGGCAGCCCTGCCACCTGCCAGCTCAGGACCTAATCCAACCTGGCCTTGAGTGCCTGCAGGCATGCACTAAAGGCTCCAAGTTCATGTTGATGTTCAAAACAAAATTAATGAACAAAAAGATCTTTGTTTCCTACTAGTGACCTCAAGGTGAGATGACCTATAAAAATTATAAGACTTCAGTGTTTTGGGAGAGTGGTACTTGTTAGTGATGCTATAAATTAAGGTTAGCAAACATCCCCCTGGATCATGTTGCTAGATACCTGCACTGAGTCAAGAAGGTGCAGTTTCACAGGGATTTCATGGAGAAGGTACTGATGAGTGTCTGGCTGCTTGAAAGGCACTGAGATGACTGATGGCTCAAAATTAATACAGGGATGAAAGCTTTCCATCTCACGGCTGCCAGTTCTGATTTGGCAGTGATGAAGAAGGACTGGAACTGCTGGCATGTTTTGAATGATGGATGTGAATTGAATCTGTGATCTCAGCGTGTTTTTTACTGATGTGTCTCCTCATCATTCTAATACTACTTGTCCAGAACTGCCAGCCCAAGGGTCAGTATGAATGGACCATGACTGCTAAGGTACTCTTTAATTGCCAGGATTTTTCTCTATGGCAAGACATAATGATTGCTGCATGTCTCACAATGCTGTGAGACGTGTTCAATGTGTGCCTTGCTTTGTCTCTATGGCAAATCATAGGATACCCTGAGCTGGGAGGGACAGAGAGGAAAGCAGAAGAACAGCTCATGTCATCTGCCTGGACTTGTGCGTTTGATACAGTGCTGCACAACATCTTTGTCTCTGAATTGAAGAAAGATGAATCTGATGCATGGGCCACAAAGTAGATAAGAAATTGGTTGGTTGGCTGCACGAAGAGTGTGGTGAACAGCTCAGTGTCCAGAGGGAGAGTGATGTGCCTCAGGAGTCGATGGAGGGACCAGAGCTGTTTAACAACTTTGTTGGCAGCACAGGCAAGGGTACTGAGCACACCCTCAGCAAGTTTGCAAGTGACAGCAAGCGGAGTGGTGCAGTTGATGTGTTGGAGGGAAGGGATGCCATCCAGAGGCAGGCTTGCAAGGTGGGCCTGTGAGAACCTAATGAGGTTCACCAAGGCCAAGTTGTGAGGTCCTGCTCCCATCCCAGAGGAGAGATGTGAAGATGATCAAGGGGCTGGAGCATCCGTTCTTTGAATACAGACTGAGGGAGCTGTGCTGTTCTCCTTTTTTAGTGGGGAGACTTGGTGGCCTTCCAGTACCCAAAGGGGGCTGCAGGAAAGATGAAGAAGCACTCTTTGTCAGGGATTGTAGTGATAGGACAAGGAGTAACATTTTTAAACTAAAAGAGGGCGGGATTTTATTAGACATAAGGAAGACATTTTTTACTTGGTGGTGAGTCCCCGCCACAGCTGCCCAGAGAAGCTGTGGATGCCCATCCCTGGAGGTGTTCAAGGCCAGGTTGGATGGGGCTCTGAGCAGCCTGAGCTGGTGGGTGGCAGCCCTGCCTGCACTAGGGTGTTAGAACCACACAGTCTTTGAGGTCGCTTCCAACCCAAACCATTCTGCCATTCCATGTCATCATTGGGCCAACACCTTTCTTCAGCACTGTTTTTTGCTTTGTTTACTGAGTAAAAATAGTAAATGGTAGGTGTCTGTACCACTTACGCTAGAATTCTTCAGGATATTTTGTGACCGCACTGGGTCCTGGGTTATTACCAAGATCTGCTACTCTCCCTTGGATGCCTCATTTGATTTCTTTCCTTTTTTCTTTTTTTCCTGATTTTGCCTGTCTCTCCATGCTCCGTGCACACGTTGTTCAAATGATAATTACTTGTGCTCTGCCATGGCATTAGACTGGAATTCATTATCGCCATCCTTATTAACTACTGAAACTTTGCGGTAACATTTGGAAGCTTCCAGCGGGAGCAGCCGACCCCATCAGAGTGAGTTGTGCAAGATGTGTTTGTGATGGAAGCAAATCTTCAGGGAACTGAAGCAGCTCTCAGCTCCTCCCGGCTGAAGCAGTTTGTAAGGTCAGAGCCAGAAAGTCGCGGTTATTCATCCCTGTTATTACTTCCTGAACGTTATTGTTATTAGTCCCTGAGCAGGAACTGGAGCGGGCATAGCGGCATGCTGTAAAGCAGGTAGATGGTTTCTGGGATTTGCAAGGAGAGTGCTGATCTTAAATTTAATCCTCTTCCATCCCTGGGAAAGAATGAGCACGCCTGAATATCAGCACTCTTTGAAGGTCAGGAGATGGAGTCAGTTGGTTTCTGACCCCTCCCTGGTGTGTGCAGAGGTGAATTCCCCTACCACCTCTTCATCTGTGTGTGGTTCATAGGAGCTGACCTTGCCTTGGGTCAAACGTAAGGTGTGCTGAGAGGCTTTATATACGCACGGCTGCTTTTCCTGTGGTTTATGCTGTTTGGACTCTGGTAATGAGAGTGGCTGTATTTCCTGCAATGTCGGGCATTGTGGAAAGCCTGACCCTGGCCGGAGCTCCGTATGGGTACCTCCCAGCCCTGGCTCCCCTTGGGAGATGGCGTGGTGCTTCTAGAGCTGGGCTCTTGGAGCTGTGACCTGTGACTGGGAGGGCATCCCTTGTCTCTTGGTGGTACTGAAGTCTTTGGCCTTGGTTCTCATCTCTGCAAAGCGCCACATGCTTTGTCATGTGAGCGGGACAGCTGTTACCCTGCTGCCTGGAGCTTCTCCCAAGGGTGAGGCTCTTGGGGTGAAGAGCCTTCCGTGTACCACAGCCATCTCAGACGCTAATAGGTTTTAATGGGCACTGGGAGGTGGCTGACCCACATCATAATTATATACGAAGAGAACACAGTGGCCCTCATTTTCACGTTATACAATGCATAACTGCTGTGCTTGTTCTCATGTCACCTGTAGGTCATAAGTAAGCTGATGCTTTCAGCCAGGCTTGGGTGGATTGCCTGCCAAAAGTCAGGGGCAGTGAATGACCCAAGGGGTCAGAGCAAACAATTCTGGTGCCAACAGATAGCGAGCAGGAGGCACTTGCTCAGCATCTTACGGCGTGGAGGGACAGGGCTGTCCAAAGGAGTGGTGGGATCTGGTAGTTTCCTTGCCTGAAGTTTGCCCACTTCTCACAGCCACGGGACCTGTGCTACACACAGCTTTGTGAGCATTGCTGTTAGGGGCCCAGCCCAGTGTCTGTGGCACCAGGCTTTAGCCATGGTAGCTCAGGTGCTTGGGGCCAAGTGGGCAGCACCAGTCCAAAAGTTCTCAGATTTGGCACTGTTAACACCGATGGCTGTTGTGTATTTGTGCAAGTGGTAGTGCTGGCACAGGCTTAAAGATGCTTGTCATTAAATGTGTTACGCTGCTATTTATTTTATTAGTATTTTTATGCATCTCTGTGTAACCCAGAAACACAGGTGCCCTGTATCAACACGGTGATAAAGTTCACGTTAATGGTTATAGTTGTACTTAACGGTGTTGAGCCAACCTAGCAGAGGGAACAAAGTGTTCAGGTGGGTGGTTGGTTTATAGGGTGATTTACTGCTGGGCAGTAAGGCAGAGATAACCTGAAGAGAACAGCTTTTACATAGGCAACACAAACTGAAAAATAAACAAGCGAGAAGTCCAACAGCCTGCAGACCACTGTGGTTGGAGCCAGGAGCAGCCTGCTGATAGCGGGGTTGTCATGGCACCTGCTGGTCCCCACGGTGGGAGGCTGGCAGGTGTGTGGGCACCTCATCCATGGGTGACATGAGGTCACTGAGTTGGTGTGAGCTGAGGATAGGAGCTTGGAGTTGTATTATTTTATAGTGTATTAATCAGGGTGTATGCTACGAGTGCGTTGTGACACGTGCTTCCTGAAGGACGACAGGTGCTGTAAGGTTTCTATGATGTTAGACCAAACCCTGAAGTAAGACCTTATTTTTATTAGTAGTTCATGCTTGGACTTTGCTCTCACATGATAAGTTAGGAGATAAATTATCTGGATCTCTTGGTGCTCTGAAAATGAAAGCTTTTTGTTTCTCTAATGCCATGCACGTAGGGCATGAATTGTAGGGGTGAGGCCGTGTCTAAGGCAACCGTGATCCAAGCACCCCTGTGATTGATCAGTGTCAGCCCACTGACTTCTAGGAGCCAAATGGCTGCACTTCCTTCTTAACGCTGCTCATTTGGCCTGCCTGCAGGGGAGGATTTTAGTGCAATTACCATGTCTTTGTTGAGCCCCAGCAGCACATCAAACAGCTGAAGGTGGTGTTCCAGTCTGCTCCTGCTCTGCTTGGAGATGATCAGATGCTTACGCTAAATGCTGTAGCATGCAATAGCTGCGCTTGTCCTCCTAGCAGATGGCAAAAAGTTCAGCAGGCCGCTTTTCTAATATATTGCATTCCTATTATGAAGGCTTTTTCAAGAGCTTGCTTTGGGATATCAATGTTTTGTTACTTCAGCACAAAGAAATTCTGCCTGGCAATCCGCTTCACACAGAATGAAATGATAGTGGCTCCAGCAGGACGCTGGCTGCCAAACCTCATCAAGTCTCTGGGCAGCCCTGCCAGCAGCACCCTGTGCTCAGTGCGGCACCCAGCCCAGCTCTCAGCCCTGCAGCTCCCTTCTCCTGCTGCTGTGACTCCCGCCCTCCCTGCTCCCATGGCACTCACCTCTGGTGGCTGCTTCATGCTAAGGATGCACTATTACTACCCACTAGCTGACACCCCAGGCTCAGAGAGTGTGAAGTGAAGAGGAAAGTGCTGAACCTTTCAACTGAGTGGTTGTGGAACAGCACAGTTGCAGGTACTGCTGCAGCCTCTGAGGGAGCAACTAGCTGAGAGAGAGGGAAGCCACTACTTCATCCTAGGTCACTTTGTTCTAGAGCAGACACGTAACATCTGGTCAAAGGTGGCAGCAGCAGTTTATGACACTGACAGTGGATGTTACGGATGTGTCAACCTCTCAAGCTCAGCTGGAAATGAGAATGACGTCCTTTGATTTCTGAAACAGGTGCAGTACTTCTTCAAGATTCTGGACAACTGAGAGCTCCCACCCTCAAAGCAGAAGGCACGGGCACAGAGCAGTGTTCATTCATTTATTTGTCCAATATGTCAACCTGACTGAAATACAAGATCAACAAGAGCACTGTACTCCTGGCAAGTATTACATGTTAGAACATAGAGTTTTGCACTTTAGACAACATTTAACACCATTCTATGGGGTACTGCATTGCTTTTATAAAGTTTAAAATAAAGATTTATTTTCAAACATGTGACTTTGGTTTATTTCATACATTACACTTCCTTGCAGAAAAAATAAAATTGTACAACTGCATAAATATAAAATTCATCCACCATGAAAATGGTTAAAACATTCAATAAAGACATTAGCACCACAGTGTGCGATGCCTCCAGAAGGAAAAAAAAAAAGAAAAAAGAAAATATACAAAGCAAAGAGTTGTGCCTATCACTGAGGACAGCAATAGCCTGACCCAGGTCTCTCACAGACACACTGGAGGATGAGGGAAAAGGTGGAGAGAGAGACAGCATTCGCTACAAAGCACAGTACACAGTCATCTATTCTCTTTAATCTCACTTAAGTTAGTTTAGCCTGCCACCCCTCCAAAGAAAACATCCTAACACCACAGAAAAGTCAGAAGCCTTATGGAGTGCTGTTGAATAGAGTCTCACAGGTGGGCCTTTCTTTTCAAAGGAACAAAATAATGAGAAGTATCATGCCAGTTCTAGTCCCATTGAGTATTTACACCTTGGACAGCAGAAGTCTTTGCTCACAAGAAGTAGAAAACAGATACGATACATGGCTTGAAAAATGACCAGAGTATGCACCTATAGTACTGTACACTAAATAAAATACACAAGGCAGCAATACTTAGGGGCCAGAAACACTGCTTACTACAAGTCAGTTATGGAATTATAATTTACAGTAAAAATGGGCATGTCCCAAGGCTCAATTCTGTTTTCTTTTGTCATTTACAGTAGAATAAATATTTGTCGCTATTGCTACACTTGGTTTACATTCTAACCTAGTAAATGCAGAAAGCTAGTGTAAAGCATATAGATTACGTGTAGGTCCCATACGTATGACAGTTTGTTCAAGACTAGTAGGTTTTCTTTTTTGTTCTTTTTTTTTTTTTTTTTTTTAAACCTTTTTTAAATGGCTAGGAGGAAGAGGGGGGAGAGAGAATTGTGCTTACAATCAGCTGCTTCTTATGTCAAATTTAATATCAAAGCGTCCCTGGAAGCGGTCTTTGTCGCTGTACTGGATGTTCTGCCCATAGGCCCTGCATTCCACACGCACTTCCACATCGTAGGTCAGGTTGGTGAACTGCACTGCCACCAGTGGCTGCAGGTAGTGTGGCTGCAGGAGCTTGCCATAGTACGGGTAGTACTGCAGGGCAAAGCCCGGGTAACCACCCATGCCGTAGTACTCCACCGCGCCGACCTTGTCCGAGTCCTCTTCCCTCTGAGATGGGAAAAAGAGCAAACGATGAAAACACCCATTTCATAGCTGTGCTCTCTCACACTGGCTGGTTTATTTTATCAGTACTGTGCCCTCTCTCTGGTGACTGCTGCTCCTCGCATCCACAGCCTCACCAGGACTGCCCCAACCCAAAGGGCACCAGGGAGCTGCCTACCCACCAGCTCCCAAGCTGTGCCCTCCCAGCACGTGCAGCCAGGAAGAGCATTTTTCACAATTTGTTTATTTAAAAACCTCACACAACCATTTCTTTGTACATTCAGAAGTCAGCACAGCTTCTGTGCGACCACTGTCTTCGGTTAAACAAAACAAAAAAGCCTCTGCTCCTTTTCAGCAGCTTTAGCATCCTAAGTAAATATCTCTTCACCAGAGCAGTTTCCCAGCCATCCTTGCTAAGAACTGCAGTACAACTTTCTGCAGCCCTACAGCCACTTCTGGCCTCACCCTCTTGGTGAGGGCACTGCTGTTGTTCATCACCAAGAGCACTTGAGAAGCTCCCACTACTGAGGAAAGAGCTCCCACGAGAGAGCCACCCCAACCACCTGCTGAAGGGCAGCAGGAGGCAGTTACTATTGGACAAAGACTCTGCCTGCAGTTCCCCACTTCTCCATTGTTATATCTCACTCACCTTAGCAACACAGTGGACAGGGATGAGATAGGGGTTGTATTTTCCTGCAAGACCTCCAGGGAGGCTCTCATTTTCTGGTGCCTGGAAGAAACCCAGAAGAGTGCAACGTTAACACACTGGATGATGCATCCACACAGACTGGGGTACCTGCGCAGCAGCACAGCTCGGTGGCACCAAACCACAGCCAACAGGAATCCCTTTGGCTCAGCCCCTGAGGCCACAAGCCATCGCTGGCGGTTCTTGGGACAGACAGGCAGAGTGACACAACTGTGAGCACTGCAGTGCACCCAAGTACAGCTGCTATCTACTCCTACAGACACTTTCATTTCATGGAGTCACTGAAGAAAGCATCTCCTGTTTGCTTGTGCAAATGTCACCCAGTGGCAGAAGGAGATGCAGTGCTGGGAGATTGCCAACCCGACCGCCAGGTGAATGCAGTCAGGACTAGGAACACACAGCAAAGAACAACAGAGGTGGTCACACCTGACAACATTGCTGAACTTTGACATCACCCATGTGGAAGGACTCCAGAAAAGCTGGCAGTGCCAGCTGTGTGCAGAGCTCAGATCAGCCTGGCAAACACCATTCCCTATACACAAGATGTAGGGCTTCTGCCAAAGCATGAAATAGAGGAACAAATGAACACCGCCTCAGATACACACACTTTAAGTCACACTGCACCCAGACCCTGCTCTTCAATACACACCAAACCCTCCTCTTCCTCAATCACACTGTGCATCTTCACAGCACCCTGCAACTGCCACAGGAAATTCCTGCACACAGTTTCCACCTGGGATCAGATGATTCAAGATCCAACTGATCTCCTGTAGCACAGGACAGCCTTCCTTTTGTAGACAAGTTTGCCTCCAACCACGTTAGTGAGCCAGCCTTTCCCCCTCCTCTCAACTACGCCTACTGATGGTGATGCAGGCTGCCTGATGTACCAGCGCGTGGCTTTCCATCCAGGAAATGGAGCGGTGTACTGAGAACTTTGCCTCATTCAATAACTTGTACTCTGCCTCTGAGTTCTCATACAATTTATTGGCATCTCAATGGGCTGGGGAAAAAAAATAAAGTAAAAGCAGTTCCTGCCCAGATTAACTTCCTTCAACAGCTGCCACAAACCTGTCTCTCAGTGCAGCACCAAGCATGGGGCAGAACAGCAGACACTCATGGTTTTTCTGAGTCTGCACTCAGTAACCCAGAGCTCATCTTGTCTTTCTTGCTGTGAGAGCTGTACCAAACTCCCAGATGTAGTTTACAGTTCATAGTCTAATACCTCATACAGCACTACTGCACTGAACTAAGTGGTTTTAGCAAGGCAGGCAGCTCTGCAGCACCTGGGGAAGGTGTCTGAGGCACAACACAACTGGCTGATCCTACTGCAGACACCATAGGTCTGGGACTGTCATGTAGCAGCACACAGGTAACGTGGGTTTTTATCATTTGAAGAAAACACCTCATTGGAGTAATTCAGTTAGCAGGCTCTGTAAGTCACCAGAGTTGAGCAGGAGTCTGCACTATGAGGCTCACGGCTACTTGCTGTGAACCTGCCGTATGCATTTTCTGTTGCTTTTTAATGAAACCATTTTTAAAGCCGGCCATACAATGATCTCACAGTCTCTCCTTTGCAGAACGGGGTTAATACTGCTCTCTCTCTACAGAGACAGAAAAGCAGGCACAAGCTGAAGGACTTTTCCAGAACCACAGCAAATCCGCAGCCAGCTTCCCATCCTCATCAGTAGCTTCATTTAGAAAGGGAGGAGGTACTTGCCTTAGGTTTGAAGCCGATAATTCTGTTGAGCTTGACGAGAATGCATGGTTTGCCCTCCTTGTACCCAAAGGTGTTATCCTGTAGCCCAGAGCAGTTCTCCAGCCACTCACGTTTGAACTTACAGACCTTCTTCTGACCTTGGGCATCATTGTATGGTCCTCTCTCTTTGTAATCCGCAGGTGTGTCTACCACGGGGAGGAACGGAAGAACAATCACATGCAGTGCGACCCTCTTCTCATCAGGGACAGCCCTAGTTCTGCATCCCTGTGCCCTCAGGATTCCCACTCGCCCACACGGGCAATACCACCTCCAATACCACCTCCTGGGCCTGCGGCACAGGCCTGTGCCCAGCTGCTCCTCCCCCTACACAGACTGATCACGGCCCCGTGCGTCTGTGGGCTGTCTGCCTAACTGAGAGTTCTTATGGGCTACACGAGAGCAAACATTGGCAATACAAGAGCACAGAGATTTTTTTGGTAACTTTTTGTAACAGAGGGATCCCCTCAGATTTTACATGCGTGTATTAACAGGTTATCATCTCATTGCCCTCTAGAATCTTCCAGATGTTTTGCAGAACTGCATCAACACTACTGACACAGTCCCCCAGCAAAGTCACCAGTAAAACCTCCCATGTCTTTCATGGAAGTTATAAGGTCAGTGCTATATGCTGTGGAGAATCAGCTGCAATCTTCTCCAAGAGCAATCTGCAAGTCCCCAGCCACATACCCTTTGCAATAAGCTTCTGGTACACTCCCAGCCAGATCCGGTCTGTCCAAACTCATCTTTAAATGAGCAGCTGACAGAAATGGAACCAAAGCCCACCAGTTAAAGTCTACCATGTGGTGCTCGTATGAGGAAAGGGACAGATGAAGACAGAAAATGCCACTACTGACCCTCATGTGCCAACAGAGGCACTGGTCAGAGCCCTCAATGTAGGAAATAACCAGGACTTACCTCCACAGTCCTGAAATACGATGTTGTCAGTCTGCTCACCAGCACTGTACTTGCTTAAGAACCCCTCCAGATTCTTCACATATGGGTCATAGCTTTTGGGATCGGAGACAGTAAAGGAAATTTCTGTCTTTTGTACCTGAGGGACTTGAGTCAGTCCTAAGGAAAACAAAATCAGGAAGAAAACATGAAGAGCTGCATGGCCTGTGGGCAGCACTACACACAGAAAGCACAAAGCAGTATTACTAATCTGTATTTTTCAGGCCTCACGACTCACAGAAAACAACTTAAGCTCACTAGAGGGGAGGTTCTGAAGGGCTCTTATCTCCAGTTTCCACCAAGAGTCTGGAATATTCATCATGAGGTTTGCATCACTGCACAGATAAAAATCACAGCTCCAGAAGGAAGGCTACAAGTCAAGGTTTTCCTCCA